ACGAGCAGGCAAAAATTTTTAACTCAGTACAACTGAACAAAATGTCCAATTATGAGTTGTTAAATATATCAACACAATACTGTGAAATAAACTGCTACACCCTTGCCGAGACTGAGGTGGACAGTCGTATTCGCCTATTAGTTTTTATAGTATATCTACCCGTCAAAGACTGGGAACGGAATTAGACTCTATCACACGACTATCTGTCAGAAAACTTAATGGTATTCTCAGATAGTTTTGCCTGCTGATCCTCTTAGACTTAAACGTTTGGATAGATCGGAATCAGTTAAAGTGACACAATGTAAGTAATCTAACGACGCGTATGCTTTCTAGACTGATTTCAGCCTTTTTGCTTCAGCATGTACCGAGCCAAGATATACTCTCTGAACTCTAAGTTCTTGTGACAAACGATTCACTCCTACGGAAACTACCGTCTTGTTGGCTCCTGTAAGCAGCCAATGCTTTCTGTTACTAACATTGTCCTTATCGTTCCTGGCAACTTATCTCTGTGTCTTTTCCCTAAGCATATAAAGTATAGCTTTGTGTTTCCTACGAAACCTCTTCCTTGTGTTTTAGGCATATTTTGATAGTCCGAACAATCCTTCCATTGCGTCCTTCTTGGTCCTTCCTGTAGCTTGTAGTCAACTATAACTTACTACCCTCTGCATCACTGGGATTAGGTTTAAGATGCAAGCAAAGCTGCTTGTGGTCTGGTGGACACTAACTCCAATGACTTCGCGAATGTCACCAAAACTGGGCTCTGTTCCCATTTCTTTCATCCGAGAGGTAATTTTAATCCGCTTTCGGTACAAATGAGTAGGTAGACACCCCACTACCATTTCAGCAACACTTGGCGCATTCAATTCAAAGGAATTATTTAAGGACATTAGTGTACTCTTATAAATTAACAATTCAAAGAAAGCAGAGAGGTCTCTAGTTTCGTTTTGAATTTGCTTTCCGTAACTCCCCACCTTCTCACTATTGGAAACCGTAAACGTTTGTCACACTGAGGGCGCAATATCTGTCTAGCCACATAACCCTCTTTTGAATGCAGAATTTTGCGACACTCTAAGGTTCATCCAACCTCTGCCGTACACCGCCTCATTAAACAAATCAGCCTTATCTCACCAGTCAATCACCACTCAAAATTATTCCCATGCCTTTCATGAAGACAGGGTGCTCACCTGGATAAGAATCAGGTCTTAGCTACTCGTACTTAAGCAGCCTCGGTATTAAACTTTCATCAGCACTAGAGGCACGCGGGAAGTAGTTGCTATCCATCTCATACATCGATAACATTATCCGTGTTATTATCGTCACTCATCTGTGAAGTCGCCACCATTTGAGTCCGTCGTTTTGCAGGCGCAGGTATCGTTTCCAGTATTCAACTGTCAGAACATGAATCCAATACCACAAGAGTCTACCAAATACCACTATATAATATGAATCCGGAAGTTTCGACAGGAGCTGGCCAGAAACTGTCAATGGAATGATGGTACTTCACTGTGGCTGCACAGACTATGGAGCCTCAGAATACTAATAATGAACACCCTGGCCCAGAATAATACTATAAGACAACCCTTGAGTCTGGAACCCACTGTTTATTTGTACAATTCTTTCGGAATACTTCGCAACTTCAATAACATAGGCACTTCAGGTTTCCTTAAGAATCTATAAAATAGTGTCATCGCAACTTTAATAATGGTGATATCTATTTCACACAACTTAGTGCATATTAATGCGTCATTTTTACAAGCATAATCTTTTACACAACACTTCAGATCCTATAATTCCCGCGTATAGAGTGAGTGAGCGAACACGAATCACCACGGTGAAACTATGTAAGACCAATGGAAGGAAAACTAATGCAACCAAACAAGTATGGATGTTCCAATGTCAAGAACGGTACTAACACTCGGTTTGGCGAGAATCGATCGTGGGTTTGCGGCTTGAAATGCTGGAGGTCATATGACATTCGTCGGGGTTTCCTTCAAAATCTAACTAAATGAGTGAATTATAGGAGCCCAGGAACCATGAGTTTCAGTACTAGAATAAACTACACTGACAGAATAGTTTGTGATGATAATATTCGGGTCAAAAATTCTTGTGGTTGCATCAAACGACTTGTGCTTACCTGCTTCCATTATGATCTGATGGTGCTCTAAGAGATTCATAAAGATGATACCAGTGGTCACTTCAGTAATAATGAAGGCCCGAAGGAACGAACGGCGAAGTCTCAGGCTTAGTTCGAGGAATTTCCTACCATATATCTTGGTAGGCAAGGGCTGGGGGTACGAGGTTTTATAGGGGCCTCATAAAGTTGCTCTTCAGTAGAATCAAGCCAGCTCCTCCACCCGCATGCACCACAAAGTACATTTTAGACAGAAGATAGGCCATATACAACATCATTCATTTCCATCTTGTACTAATTTATGAGTTTACCAATTACTAGGAGCCAAAAGTACAGGGCCAAGTAGACGTTTCACACTAAAGCCATATAGTTTATGGTATTAGCGAAATCCAGGGTGCGAGCTGGTTTATCTCCATTCGTGGTGACGGTTTCTAGAAGTAGTGTATAACGTGACATAATCTCTCTTCAGATGCTGTAGAGTTATCCTTACAGATAAGTAGTGTGCACTCAAAATGGGAACATACATCGTAACAGTGGTACAAGCAGTCACACCTATGACTACTGGCAGTTCACACTGTTATTACCTAATAAACAACCGCTCTTACGCAGACATTTGCCTTAGTGCCAGTCAGTAAATTACGTTTGATTGCTGACAACAAAAGATAAATACGAAAACACGTTAGATATTAAGGGCGCTCAGAAGAGCAATTTGCCTATTAGCCTGTGGCCAGAAAGTCATTTTAGAGGAGAATTATATGTCTTATCTGTCTGCAAATGACTGAACTATGGACTCCGCGTGTGTTTGCTAATAAGCATGAGCAAGACGTAAAAATGGCTAAGGTTAACGGATGAATAGCTACAGGTTTAAACATAACGTATGAGATTAAGAACAACCGGTGAAACCATATCAGACTATCTACCTAATGGTTGAATATTTTAAATATTTACTTATTCATAATTGCTGCCCGGAAGATGCAGCACAGAGAAGTGGGCTTTGATTTAGTGCTTATTGGCACTGTAGTGGACCTAGAAACATTCAGCACAAAAGCTAAATCCCTGTTACCTATAACTACTAGCTCTGATTAAAAAGCCAATAAAGAATATCCACCAAAATAGAAGTGTAATTGGAAAGTTAGTTTGTGTTACAACTGTATTCAAAACATAGTCATTCGAAAACAATATTGGTAAGTTCAATTCACGACAAATTTAGCTTCCGAAACACGATTTGAAGGATAGAAAAGTGACGATGAAGCTTGTGGGGCACTGCTTCGGAATAACTGTTCAGGCGTTGAAAATAGATGGGTTTCCTGTAAAGATTCTGTCAGAACAATCTGTGAGTAGTTATCTTCGGTAGAAGCAGAAACTAGAAGAAAACAGAAGGAGCGGGTCAGCGTATATTTCCACTGAGGCAACACCCACCGTATACAGGTTGTATTATCAGGAAACTTGTCATTAGAGACAACCAGTCGCTTGTCTCTATATATGTTAAGGAAAATGTGAGAAATGTAGAAAGTGATATGAAGAAATATAATTCCCAGTTGAAGGATTTGTAAAAAGTGGTATTTATAAGGCCTTCACAACACTTGGCAACAAGGAGTATCTGCAACCTCGAGGGAAACGGCTTCTTCTCTGAGGCTCAACCTGGCGTCACGCATTGCTGCAGCCATAAACTTTACCACTGAGCTATTTGGGTGGTGACTGATGTCCTACAGGACCAGATTAGACACATTGCAGAAATACCTCAGCAGTCGGAAGTTTTCAAATCTGATGTTTATTCCTTGTGGTGAACGAGAATTTTATATTCTGTAAACGTCGATATGAGATGTTCTCTAAAAGGCAGTTCTTTTCACAGCAGCATATATCCCCTGTAGAATTGGATTAAGGACATCAGTCGGTTACTGGAGGGTAATCAATTTCATATTGTCTAGTCCCAAGTGAGGATTGAACTCTATCGACCACCTTTTAATATGGGCATAAATTCTTGTAAAGGGTTCTTCGAAGAAGAACAGCACCAATTCTAAGAAGCAGTTTGACGGCGTGTGGTAGTAGAGAGACGCATGGGGTTTTTGGTAGTGATTATTATATTGTGCTTGGATGAATTGTACTCGGTAGTATTGTTGTTGATAAAGTCATTTTCATATTAAAATTAATCCTGAGGATGTTGTTTAGAAACAAAGCGAAACTCTCATGATTAAACCACCCAGCTCAGAGGACGAAACACAACTACCAAAGTAATTAACAGAAACCTTCCTATTTCAAACAGTGATTATCTTTCCCAGCAAAGAATCTATCTAGTGGCAAACGGTTTTGATTATAAAACCGATAAATTTCTGAGAAGTGTTAAGGGTAAGAAACCATGAACCAAAACATTGTATTATCTACCTTGAAACATATTTGTTTAGATGGTTCACTTTCTTTTTATGTTGCATGCTAGGAGTTAACCGGCGGAAAACCCTGAATCTAGCTCTCATACTTGTTGGTATTCTTCAGCACGACGTCCCGGGAACCTTGAGAAAACTAGTGTTCCCTCGGTGATACAAATTTAAGTGACCCAGTACTGAAATCACATACTTTACCATTAGGTTATTCATGCAAAGACTGGTTGGATTATGTACATCGACTGATCGCCTCTGGAAAACTGATACTGCTTCCAAGTCCTAAGTGCTCAACACAAGCTGAAGTATGTCATTCAGCTACGCAGGTAAATCGTGTACATGGTTTGCTTGGTCAACCAAACCGTAGCATCACTTACAACAAATCTGCAAACCGTTACTGCAAAGTAAGCTGAGGACAAATGATGACCCTAGTAGTTAGACTATGCCCCCCCCCCCCACCTCCAAAAAAGCCAAAACAGAAGAACAAACCGAGATTGTACAGTAATACGTTTTTACTTATGCAATTTCTGAGTAATATTGATTATGACTGTTAAAAAATAAACCAGAAAGAGGGAGGACAATAAACTGATTATAGTTCGATGATCAATTAATTACTCAACAAATAGTTTGGGGTAATTACACTCTGTTGTCGGTACCCCGGTAACTAGGGGAGTAAAAATGTAAGAAGTCATGGCGGACACTCCCGTTGCCAATCCATGAAGGAAAAAATCATCATCATCATTGAAAGAGTGGGAGAGAGAGAGAGTCAACAGGAAATGATACCGCCAATAACAGGAGGATTAAGTAAATAGCAGGAGAAGGAAGACAATGATTCACGGCAAAATCGGCAGATCAGGATATTATGCTAATTATGAGTGGTCTAACAACAATATTAATAATAGTTACAATAACTTTGTAATCTATGGACATATTCATTGATGATAATATAGGTGAATGTTGTACAAAACAAAGTGGATTATTATTATTATTATTATAGTATACAATGAATGAATACAGAAAGACTCTTACCATTTTCGGTTAGTTATCGCTTTATCAAAAAAGATTCAAAGAGAAATGAAAGGTTGGCTAATGCATGAAGACAAATATGTTAGCGAGTACAACAAGACTCATCATTTAATAATTAGATTATCTTAAGAAATAAGTACAACTGTAAGAAATCCTCTACTATAGAAATAGTTTTCTTGATAATCCAATCCAATCCAACTACACTTGAGAACTTCATACACACGACAACACCAAGTATTCAATTATTCAATGTCTAGACATTGTAGTGTAGTGTAACTTCTTCAATTAATTGGATTATCAAGAAAACTATTTCTATAGTAGAGGATTTCTTACAGTTGTACTTATTTCTTAAGATAATCTAATTATTAAATGATGAGTCTTGTTGTACTCGCTAACATATTTGTCTTCATGCATTAGCCAACCTTTCATTTCTCTTTGAATCTTTTTTGATAAAGCGATAACTAACCGAAAATGGTAAGAGTCTTTCTGTATTCATTCATTGTATACTATAATAATAATAATAATAATCCACTTTGTTTTGTACAACATTCACCTATATTATCATCAATGAATCTGTTTCATTATCAGGATACAGATTTATTCAAAATGTAGATTGTATTTTTTGCAGGAAAAAAAAAATAATAAGGCAAAGAAAATAAAATTTAAACAAAATCCAAAGGTGGAGGATCTGGAGGTATAATGATTTCTCTTTTAGGCAGTTGATTTAAATCTAGGCTTGAAAGACGTATACGCATATCCAAATCAATCAAGCGTTCCACATCTTCATTGTAATAGTCACTTGGGTTCTGAATAAATTTTAAAAAATTGTTTTCAAAAAAACAGTGAAATACAGGAATCGTTAAAATGAAATATTACCCTTACTCAACAACACACACACACACACATACATACACACACACACATACATACATACACACACACACAAAATTTCTCTAATGTGAACTGTAAATTGGATACATTCAATATAAACAAACATTAAAATTTGCCCCATAATACGTTTGAATGCGGAAGGAAACCTAGTTGCCAAAGGGGAGTAACAAAGGAAACAGTGGGCTGACCACTTCAACTCTTGAACCGACCACCACCCGCAACTCGTCTACAAATACCACCAGCAACGACAGAACTACCAATGAACACAGGCCTTCCGACAAAAGCAGACGTCTCGAAAGCCATAAAGTTGCTAAAATCCGGCAAAGCAGCAGGACCAGATGGAATTCCATCAAAAGCACTGGAAACAGACGCAGAGACAACAGTAGAGATGTTCACACCACTACTGCAGAAGGTTTGTAAGGAAAGAAGGGAAGGTACCTGCCAACTGATTGGAAGAATGGCTATTCTGCCAAAATCCCAAACAAGGGAGACGTAAATCTTTCCAAGAACTGGTGAGGAATCATGCTGCTGTCCACCCGAAGCAAAATATTAGGCCGCATCATCCTGAAGAGACTAAAGGATGCGCTGGATTCAAAACTAAGACCCGAACAGGATGGCTGGCTTCAGAAAGTATAAATCATGTGCAGACCAAATTGCAACATTGTGGCACGCATCATCATAGAACAGAGTATAGAATGGCAGTCAACTCTCCACCCTAACTTCATCGACTTTGAAAAGGCCTTTGACAGCGTCAACCGAGAAGTAACTTAGCAGGCAGTTGCTTCAACACTACGGAGTGCCACTAGTCTTTATCAACCTCATTCAACAGCCATATGAAGATGCCACATGCCAAGTGATGCAAAATGGAAAGCTCAGTGACGCCTTTGAAGTGAAGACAGGAGTAAGACAAGGCTGCCTACTATCACCCATGATATTCCTAAATGAAGTAGTCTCTTTCACGTACCTGCCTAGGCACCATCGTCTCAACTACAAGTGGCACAGACGAGGACGTCAAAGCCAGCCAGGATCGGGAAAGCAAGACAGGCGTTCATTAGCCTGAAACCAATGTGGAGATCTACTGCACTCCACTCAACAAAAAGAACAACATCCGGATTTTCAACACCAACGTCAAGTCAGTGCTTCTATATGGTTCACAGACTTGTCGCGTCACGAAAGGTATTTCCAACAAACCACAGATATTCATCAACAACTGCCTACGCTCACTCGTTACTGAAGATTAGATGGCCAGAAAGAATAAACAACTAGGAACTCTGGTTGGCTGGTGACGAACCAATCAAGAACCTATCGCCCAAAAAATATGCAGAAGGAAGTGGAGATGGATTGGGCATACACTGAGACGGCCGGTTAAGGACATCACGCGTCAGGCTATTGAGTGGAATCGAAAGGGGAAACGACGAGTTGGGCGTCTGAGGTGAGGGTGACATGGAGGAGATCGTGTGAGGAAGAAATGAAAGCTTATGGGCAGTCGTGGCGCCAGGTTTAAAAGACTGCAGAGAACAGAGTGCAGTGCAATGCTACTGAATACCTATGTTCCACTAGGAACCCAAGGGAAAATAATAATAATATGTGTTTGAATGTGTACAATCCCTACCGCGGTCTTGTTAGTATGTTGGGAAGTGTGGTTAAAAGACGAAAAATCAGTCTCATTTAAAATTTAGTCGACTGAGGATGTCCGATTTTATAAAATATCACCTCACTGGATGAATTGAAATTTGAACCAAAATTCTGGACCACTGAGTTATAATATCCCGCTTGAAGTTTCCATCAATTCACCCTATGTAAGGTTCAGCAAGATGTTGAATATTGTACTTTGAAAAATTAATTAGGAGCTTAATGAAAAAAATACTACGGCAGGTTTAATCCTAGTGTCTGTCTATGACTGCTGCACCGGGAGGCATAGGTTATCATTCCAAGTAGCACCAATCCTCTAGAGTCTACATACACAAAACTCAATGCCATGCCAACAGACGCCAGATTTTATAAACTAACGAATTCTTTACAAATCATCTTAAAAAAGAGATAAATTAGTTCCAATTCAAATTTCCTAGGACACTCGTGAAACCCTTACCCACAATTATATGATAAAAAGCATTATTTGGTTATCACCGTCACCGCCAAATTCTCCAAGGAATGCGCCAGCTGACACACGCAATATAAATTCAGTAACAAGCATGAACTGAAAGACGAAGTGAATATAACCTAAACAGCTTATCAATTCTTCGGAAAAACTGCACGCAAAACCGCATCTCAGACAAAAGAATTCAGGATTTAGTCAGCTAATACGTTGCTCATCTTTGACTACAGCATCTAGCCTCCACAAGCGAATGACCGAGAATATTTCACCACATATATACAACGTGTTACTTAGCGCTTGATACACCATCTAATTCATACCATTACCATCTATCTCACTACCCATAACAAAATGAGTATATTGTACAACAGGCTGTCTGTCAGCTTCACATACTGACACAATTTAGGCTTCCTCATGAGTATCGGACTACTTACCTCCTACTCCAACATGCTATGCTGGGTGTGAGAAAAAAATAAGTTAACGAAGGTGAGAGGTAGTCAGAAAATCGATTGAAAATAGTCCATGAAGTCACTGACTCACTGACTCACTGTTGGCCTCAATCGTAGACACTTCCCCACTGGCATCCTACTCAAATATCAGGAGTAAAAAGTTGACCATTCGAAAACCCAACCTTATGCTCATCGAACCAACTCCTGACACATGCAATGGGAGTGAGTCATGACACACTGCACACATTTACGAAATTCTTCTCACATCAAGAATGAGGGAATCGAGAGCTATTGCACTGTGAAGAAACGAAGTTTGAAGGTTGTTATGTGACTACCTTGAAATGTGTTGAATAATGTCGTCCAGTAAATAACACTGTATTACTGAGCGCTTTATTGAAGAAACTAAATCTACTGTGGATTCACACTCGACCACCTTGCCCAAGTCTCACTCCTCTTTCATCAATATTCACCAGAATGCTTCTCTCCATATCTCGTCGCTCTGACTACCACCTACTTGCTTTCCACAATCCACTCATTACTTTCATTCTCCTTTTCCTTTCTCTTCAATTGTTGTGAATTAGGCAAACTTAAACAGGTTCCACGTTCTACTTGTTTGTGTATGTCACCTTCACTAGTGGTAATCGTTCACTGTTAATCTTCTAGATGGTTGTTGCACTTTACGCGTCCTCCTCCTTCGGATGCACATTCTGTCAGTGTTGTTGTGTCTAACACGATTGTAGTAGTAGCAGCTGGAGAACGGCACCAGTGTAACATAAACTAGATACTCAATGGGGAAATGTTTGATACTTTCCTTGATGTTAAAGCATATCCTAGTCGTTAATCAATGTCCAAGTGGGCACAATGAATCGTTCAATGACTTAGGTATGTAATCAATCGTGTACAGTAAGTGTAGGGTTAATCAGCTATGAAAATCAACTGAACTCTGAGGTATTACTCATGGTCAAGGATTTCTCATACTATTGTAAAATGACCTTATCGTTGGACGTTTGATGATGCTCTTGTGCATTTGCTAAGTAAGTTAAGAAGTAAATATTGTTGAGTTGTATGCTTCGACAGCGGCATTTCTATGTGATTTGATCAATGAAGCTGGCACTATTCTTCACTGATGAGGTGGATTTATGAATGGTGAGTTTTTATTTACACAGTAGTAGTATTGACCGTACTTGCAATTTGGAATTTATGGAAAGCATGCACAAGAGTCTTGATTATAATAGGAAATTTACTCTCCTTACTACCTTCCCAGTGTTAGGTGAAGACTAAGATATAGCATTAGCGCGATAGCAGATCCATACCAACCAAAGGTGCAAACAGTATATGGATTTTATTTATTCCCCAGTTTCGTTGTCTTTCGAACTAAAAGTAGGCGTCGTTTTCTAAGGTAAACTACAGAATAGGTGAAACAGTTGCCTAATTTTAGTTATTACAAGAACTGAATCCTCAAGTCCCACATGATGATTGAAGCCTTTTGATCCATAGGGCAAATAACTGAAGGGACACGCCTCTATGGTGGTGATTTAAATGGCTAATCAATGAATTTCATGACTATTTAGTTGAGTGATACCGTTTCAAATCTCTGACAGGTTATGGAATTTCCTTACTGCTAAAAATGTGTTTTCTGATGGATGCTAACTGACGTTAAACTATGCTGTCAAGCCGAACTTTTCGTTCAGTTGACTCTAAACAGCCAATACCATGTCTTGAATGTTGAGATTTCTGTTGTGTTTTTTTATTTTTATGAGAGTGTTATTGACACTAGACTAATAAGAAAAGTCGCATTCCATAATCGACTAGTAAATTACATGATAAAACTCAAAAAAGAACTACCTAGTTTTATTTTATTTGTTGTGTTATTTCTTTTATCGATACCCTGTTTTTGATACCTTTATTCATTCCACTTCTATTGTCAATAAGACACTTCATACTCAAACATGATGTTGTTGCGATTGTAACAAGACCAAAGTGGATAGTCGAGGTTTCAGATATGAAAAAGGTATCAAGCTTCAGTTGCTGACCTATATACTCCAACAGTTTGGGTGCAGTTGATTGTTATCACCATTGGTGATAATGATGTAGTAGGTTTGGTCCAGTTGAAAATAAATGTATACATGAACACTGATACACATAAAATTTAGCAAGCAGGTCAAAAATGTATTAGTGACGTAATGTACACCAGAGGTAAGTTAAGATGAGGAGATTTTATAGAAACTTTATGATAATTCCAAACATAAAGTATGAATAGAAAGGTACGCTTTGATATCATGTGAAATTTAGCATCATTACAACGTTGTTCGACGTCCGAAAGTCTAAAACAGTGCTATCTGCTCACTAACCCTGTATCATCTGCTCTGCCATCGAAATCACACCGACTACCTATCAAAAACATCAAACTAATCAGGATTCAATTAATACTTCACATTGAAGATGTGTAGCAAAACCAAACATCTCAGTTGATGAGGGTTTTCAACCCTATCAATTAATTTACCTCCGTTGTCTATTACTCTGTGCCTAAACTTGACACTGCTCACAATTAACCATTATTTTACCTGTTGTCACTCCATTATCTTCCTCATCTTTGAGACACCGTTGTCTACCACTTCTTTTAATCGCACAGTGAAGACTGTTTACCAATCCACGTTTACGCTATCTTTGTCTTTCAGTTTGCTTACAGCCTGCTGAAATGTGTGTTTCCATGCCCCCCATTTATTCGTATGAAAACGCCGAGACACACAGGTCTTTACTAATCTATTTAAGGGGATTGATTACAATCTCTACAACTTTTTTAACTACAAACTGGGAAGGGTATGTGTCTGTAAAAAGAGATGAGTAAGATGGCCAGGCTTTGTCAATTTGTCTGCGTGCCCTCTCTTCCTATGACTTTCTGAGACTTGATTACACTCTTTTCCTATTTACCTCTTTTGTTTCATTGCTTCATATCTTGATATACTAATATGACGTGTAGCAGCTCGGATCCGTAAACACTACTATTAGGTTCTCGGTTTATTTTCACTGACTCGCAGATTGCAACACTGTAATATATCCCTAGCTAATTGACCAGTTCATCGCCAAACTAATTACTGCTGCTTACTTTTGACAGAAAGTTTTGAAAGTGATATATCCTTGGTTATTTGTATATGAGAGTAGACTCTTAAAGAAATAGCCCTAAGCTTCACCAACTGAAAGTGGCTAGGTTCCTCACGAACAGAAAGAAGCAGCAAAAACAATAAACACCTACTGACAAGTCAAAAATGTGCAAAAAGTAACGGTTTATATGCCCTTTTAATATCCTTGATATTTCCTATACCTTTCTAGAAAAACGTTTAGCTAATCTGAAGTTCACAGGTATGACCACGCGGTTTTGCGAACGTTCGCCACTCCATGATTAGCTGTGAAAGCTTTCAGAAATTGCGGGCTTCTATGAGGAATTTAAGGGATATTGTCTCACTCACAACCTCTGGCTTTTCTGCTTCCACTGAGGTGCAAACATCTACAAACTCCAAATGGGGCGTGGTCAGTATTCATTCGAATCCTACTCCAACGACTTCATCCATCGGTAGCTGATAACCACACGGTATTACGGTTGATGACAATCTAGTGAGTGAGTTTTAAGAATTTTTTTTTCGCAAAGAATAGGTGATCATCAGAACACAAGTTTGGCAGGTGATCAACTTGATAATTGGCCTTCTGGGCTAAGATCTCAAAAGTTCCAACGATGTACCTCCTTAAAAAGACCATCTTTCCTGTTTGTAAGTTGATAATGATGACCAAGAAGACTGCAAGTAGACGTTGAGGTTGGCATAGGAAGTTGAAAAACATTCAAAAGAACGTAGTATTATCTGTAATTAAATTGGTCCCTTTTAGTTCTCACTACATCCTTCATTTGAATGCTGTACAGGGACTGTCAGCGAGGTTTGAATCAAAAAGAATGCTCTTTCACTAGTTCGTAATTCTATGCACATGCACAGTGAACAGTTGTGCCAGCTTCATTGATCAAATCACATAGAAATGCCGCTGTCGAAGCATACAACTCAACAATATTTACTTCTTAACATACTTAGCAAATGCACAAGAGCATCATCAAACGTCCAACGATAAAGTCATTTCACAACAGTATGAGAAATCCTTGACCATGAGTAATACCTCAGAGTTCAGTTGATTTTCATAGCTGATTAACCCTACACTTACTGTACACGATTGATTACATACCTAAGTCATTGAACGATTCATTGTGCCCACTTGGACATTGATTAACGACTAGTATATGCTTTAACATCAAGGAAAGTATCAAACATTTCCCCATTGAGTATCTAGTTTATGTTACACTGGTGCCGTTCTCCAGCTGCTACTACTACAATCGTGTTAGACACAACAACACTGACAGAATGTGCATCCGAAGGAGGAGGACGCGTAAAGTGCAACAACCGTTTAGAAGATTAACAGTGAACGATTACCACTAGTGAAGGTGACATACACAAACAAGTAGAACGTGGAACCTGTTTAAGTTTGCCTAATTGACAACAATTGAAGAGAAAGGAAAAGGAGAATGAAAGTAATGAGTGGATTGTGGAAAGCAAGTAGGTGGTAGTCAGAGCGACGAGATATGGAGAAGCATTCTGGTGAATATTGATGAAAGAGGAGTGAGACTTGGGCAAGGTGGTTGAGTGCGAATCCACAGTAGATTAGTTTCTTCAATAAAGCGCTCAGTAATACAGTGTTATTTACTGGACGACATTATTCAACACATTTCAAGGTAGTCACATAACAACCTTCAAACTTCGTTTCTTCACAGTGCAATAGCTCTTGATTCCCTCATTCTTGATGTGAGAAGGATTTCGTAAATGTGTGCAGTGTGTCATGACTCACTCCCATTGCATGTGTCAGGAGTTGGTTCGATGAGCATAAGGTTGGGTTTTCGAATGGTCAACTTTTTATTCCTGATATCTGAGTAGGATGCCAGTGGGGAAGTGTCTACGATTGAGGCCAACAGTGAGTCAGTGAGTCAGTGACTTCATGGACTATTTTCAATCGATTTTCTGACTACCTCTCACCTTCGTTAACTTATTTTTTTCTCACACCCAGCATAGCATGTTGGAGTAGGAGGTAAGTAGTCCGACACTCATGAGGAAGCCTAAATTGTGTCAGTATGTGAAGCTGACAGACAGACAGCCTGTTGTACAATATACTCATTTTGTTATGGGTAGTGAGATAGATGGTAATTGTTATGAATTAGATGGTGTATCAAGCGCTAAGTAACACGTTGTATATATGTGGTGAAATATTCTCGGTCATTCGCTTGTGGAGGCTAGATGCTACATTCAAAGATAAACAATATGAGCGTTGTTCTCGGATCAATATCTTAAATGTCTTTAAATACCTTAGACGATTTTAGGAAGACCGAAATCTACCCTGAGGATTCCATTTTTGCTGTTTATTTGTGTTCGAAATAGCATATGATTGTACTTTAGGTAAGGATTCCGAGAAATGTAAGTGGTTAACTTCCACTATCCTCTTCAGTAGTGACTTATAGCAGTATGTGTCTATTTTTGAAGTTAGTGCTAGACAAAATAGAGAGGACCGTGAGAAAATGATCGTAAGAAATAATCAGTTCTAGGTGTTTGTGAACGTAGTATTCAGGAAGTAAGCCAAACATGCATTTCTGATCGCCTCAGCCTTCCTATCGGTGCACTGAAGTATCTATCGGCCGACAGAGTTATTAGGTCAGAAAGTTTGTCCGCTTACAGTGAAACTGACAGCTTTTTGTAGAATTCATCCTTCACAGTGCCCTAACTACAGTCAGTCAACATCAGTGATTGTGGATGGAAGTTCTTACAATTTCGCAACATCAGTCAAGATAGGTTAAACGAAAAAATAAACGTGTGTGCTGTATGCAGATCTCGGAGACGCAACAAGCACATATTAGCTAGGCTTTCACAGTGTCTCCTGACTAACAACGATACTTGTTCGATTCAATGTGGAGTCTAGATGTTGAAAACTTCAATATGTAAGTTGGTAGTATGGTTTTCGGAGAATACAAATAATATTTCACTGATTGGAGTCGTTGTTAAAGACATGAGATCCAAGCCGTGGAAGTATATTTTCAAGATATGCAGTGGATTGAGGAAAAACATTTGAACGAAAAACAAAAATTTAAATGCATAACAAATATGAACTTACATTCAATTTGTTCAACAAATATAGACCATCTAACCAATAGTGATATTCTATTATTGATCTGGCTAGTAAACTGACTCGAATGGATCGTGATTTGAAATTCCCAGCTTCATTAGAGTCATCTTGATTTGAAATATCGCTTACTTCAACTTGGAATATTAAAGTCTGAATTTCAAAAAGTTTGCATACAACTTTATTTTCAAACGAAGCTAATTACTATTTATGATAAAATATTACCATAAATCACTATAAAGACAATTATCAAGGTTAATTTAACTTTTTACCAGAGTTATTGTGATAAGAATGATGAAAGTTGTGGAGTACTGTTGGATGTTGGTCGAAAATTTGACCAAAATATAATAGGAAATCAATTACTTCTTAATCATATCCTTAAGCAAAACTTAAAACTTCGAAATTCCATATCTGGTTTTACGCAAACTAGTCCTATGATTCACTAATTCCCAAGGTCACCTTAGCCTGTTCTAATTGGCTGGAAAATAAGAGCGTTTTGTATTTTCTCTGCTTTGTCTTGCTTTTATGGCTGGGTTGCCGAATACATCAAGGAGACTAGGGCGGGGAAGTTTGTGTCACTAAATTAGAGACTATCAAATCAGATAGCCATCTTTAATCTGCTCATTATTGACGTTTCTGGTCTTTTTATGATGAAAACACGAAGTAGGAAGTAGACTGAAAATGAAACTTACAGTGGTACGCTGTTCGTGCATTGGTTTCATCAGTTGCCTAGTGACTACTGGCATTATAGTGTCAAGCTTCATTTCGTTTACCAATGACCTTCATCAAATAAGCTTAGGAGCAAGGAGATGTGACATGATAAAGTTTATAGTCTCGCCAAGCTTGATATTTAGCATACGGACATTGTGCCTAATTTCCGAAGTAACGTAAGTTTATTGTCAATTCCAAGATTTAGGGTATTTGACATAATTTTCGTTGACAGACTGATTATTATTTAGCGTGGCGAAGTCAGGGGTTGCTGCTGAACCTAGGAGTAATTGGTTCGAATTCTGTCTGTATTCATGGTCGCTTTACAACTGGAATCACCATCACTGTAGACTTAAGCATTTATTCATTCACAATATCATATGCAAACATAATGATGATAGTTAAATAGGCTAAAAAAAAGTATCATTTCATTTCAGGAGAGTTTTTGTTATCGCTGGACTGAAACGAAAATCACCTTACTAAAATATTCAGATAGCATTTGTACAAAATCAAAAGATTTGGATGAAAAGATGACATAACTTCAGGATGCAGAATATCTCCTTCCCAAAAAACTCCATTGGACAGACAAACCACATAGTTGTCAACTCAATACCATTGATGGTGGTTACACTGTATTAAAAGAAACGCTGTGCATTGATCTAAGAAGTATGCCTTAGATGATTATCCCTGATATAGTAACAGTCGTTATGTCCCAGGTTCGCCCTTATGGTAGACTTGCGGGCAACTATTTAAGTTTATTAAGAATATCGGCAAGATTAGGACGACGGTTAGTGAAACCATCGCCGGAAAGGATGTGACGCCAGTAATCTCCCAAGACAGGCGGCTAGAACGTTGGGCAGAACACTCCAAAGTATAATTCAACTGGCCGTCACCAATGCTTCAGTTGCTCAACATCTAGTCTGAACCTGAATGCAACGTAGATGTTGTTCTCCGACTCTCCTTGAAGTTGAAAAGGCTGTATTGAACCTGAAACGACACAAAGCAGCATGACCTGACAGTTCTCAAAGATGGAGGTAATAAATTGCTAATTAAAGTGAAGACGGTACCGTCTAGTATATGGGAATCATATGTAGTGTCATCAGCCTGATTCACTTCACTGATCATCCCAGTCTCTAAGTAGGGAAAAAGTATTCTTGTGACAACAGTAGGTGAATTAGTTTGACTAATATTGTGTCCAAGATCTCCGGATCCATAGTTATCCGACACCTAACTGGAGCTCGTGAACAGCAAACTACAGAAAATAAGGCAGGTTTCAGACTGAGCTGGCCGAGGGTGTATCGGTCATATTTTTACCCTCTGACAGGGTCCGAGACACAGGCATACTTACCAGGGACCGACACTTCCCATATTTCTTGATTTGAAGGCGGCATTTGACTCTATCGACCGTGAGGTGTTGTCGCAGTGTCTGGCTACGAGCGATTACATAACACTGATCAAAGCTCTGTACTTGGTCTCGCGCAACCGTGCAAGGGCTTATGGAGAGATGTTATGTGCATTGACGACGACTAGTGGTGTTTGTCAGGGATGTCCACTGTCACCGTTCCTATTTAACTTTGTCATAGATGTACTAATGGACATAAGCTTAGGCAGATCTGAGTTTATGGGGCTTGGCCTACTCTGTGGAGGTCATCTAATTGTCTTGGAGTATGCAGACGGTATTGTCCTGTCAAGTAAAGACGCTGTCTCAATGCGAGGTCTTCTGGATCTGGTCAGCAGAAATCTGAGAATGTTTGAATAGCATGCGTGTCATAACTTTCAAATGTAAAATGATGCTCCAGGAGTGGTCTGATGCAAGTACTCTCAGTTTAATGATAGGGAATGAAGTGGTGGAATATGTCGACCATCTCACTTACTTGGGGAGTTGCCTCCACCCTCCGAATGGGCTGCGTGCCGACGAAAACTCAGTTCACATACAGAAAACCCGTTTTGCATTTCCCAACTTGAGTTATTTGTGGTACCAACTGGCGAGATATCTGACTATCCATCAAAGGACGAGTATATTGTACTGCAGTTCGTTCTGTTCTGATATACGGCTATGGGACGACCGTTGAAAGTAAAAGACATAAAGTGATTACAGGGTTTTGATCACAGATGTCTTCGTAGCGTTGCTCGCGTTTAGTGGGATCACTGAGTGAGTAACGTTGGCGTAGATTCTATGTAGAATGGAGATAAATTGATGTTCCCTGAGTAGAAAAATGAATGAGCTAGTCGTTCTGTAGCAACTCTCCCATTTTCATCTGGATAAATAATTTGTCCAACACACTTTCAAATGTAACAGTTTAAGAATCCTTCTTCAAAAGGTACACAAACCAATTATCTTAGACCTTCATCAATCACAGGCTGAACGTTTTGCTTTCGCAAACGTATCTCGATTGTAGTTTATACAAAGGGTGATACAAGTGACATAGTTTCATGATATATTATGCATTATATAGTGCAGTATTACACATTTTAAAGAAAAAAGATAAGTAGAATACTTTAGAATAATAAAATTTTATTAAAAATGAAATATCTTGGTACAAGACATTAAACAAACATTAACCACTTTCCAGCTTCTACTGTTATTATTTGCTGTGACCTCGGGATAACAGAGAAGCAGTAATACGGTTGATAGTTTCATTACAACGTTACGTATGTACATGACACAATTCCTATTTTTATACTTATGGGTGGGTTTTGAGAGTTTCTAAGATCTTTATTTTTTAAAAACCCAACTACAACTGGATTTCCACGAATACCTAATTGAATATGGTCACAAGATGTTGAGAGAAAACTTTTGAATCTTAGAAGGATGTAGACTATATGTGAATTTTTTGAATGATTTCTAGCCTGTTTCTGGAATATGATAAGCACAATTTACTTGGTTGAGGTTAGCAGAAGAATCCAGGATGCGCGTTTCGTTAGCTGAATTTACCTGCACCTATGTGAGTAATTTTGTTCCCACAAAGACTCGAATTCAGTACATATAGCCTCAAACACCAAAGCGTTATCCACTAGGCCATTGAGACACGATAGGCTCCTCATACAACGAGTATTAGTTATTGTTATTTCTTGGTATACTTGTAATTATTCGTTGTTTTACTGGATCGAATTGATCGACCTCTGTTGGAATATGGACTCCTATACCTAATAGATAACCCTTTGATGAGTACTGGGTTCAAGTCTTGATGGGAACAACATCACTCACTGGGGTGCAGACAAAATTCAGCTAACGAGTCCCAAATAGAACGAAACGCGCATCCTGGATTCCTCTGCTACTCACAACCAAGTAAATTATCATAATTAATATTCAGGTAATCTTGAGGCATCTGCATAGGAGCCCATATGCCAACAAATGTGGCAAACACAGTATGACGCTTCATTTAACTTAAACTGCATATAGTATTCATATAATAGTTTAATTTGTCTATACATACAAATCGTCTTGTTGATACACAGTAAGCAATCAGCACAAAATAGTCAATAAGCTTTGTTCAAACTCACTCGCTCTGGATTCTTCTTCACTTTCTCGGAGATACCTAAAGACACTCGGATGATACACTTTAATGGCCCTTGGTAAAGAAAACACAGAAATATTAAAAAATGACAGATTTGCTTAGAAAAAAAGAAAGGATATCTGTATATACCATAGTTACCTGGTGTGTCAGGCTAGTTAACTGAATATACATGCTACAAAACCTACTCAGTAAAGAAGCATTATCAGAGGAATACTTTAAAACATGGGCGGTGAACGAAATGAAGACAGTTACATCTTTTAACAAACGGTTGCATCAAAGCTACTCAGAATACTACTAACTAGTTCTTAAGTAGTATGAATCAGAAAAGATTAAATCTAAACCAAATTAATATACTGATGATATACTCATTCAGGAAAAAGAAAGTTATGCGTTACATATGATTTATGACATCGTTTCCAAGCAACAGAGTTTATCGTAGAAGTTCAATTGTTCATTTCAATTTAGACGAGAGTCATATCAGCAACTAACATAAACCTCCAATCTGGAGGTTTGTGTAGATCCATTAACTGATTTCAGTTTGGAATTCATCATGGACTGATATCAGTTGAAGGAGCATTGGAAACTTTGGAGTACTGGGAAACTGTTCCGTCCTAGCATGGGATTCTACAAACCTCCAGATTGAATTAATCTAGCGTTCTCTGATGACTAGTTTCGAGAGGTAATTCCCAAAGTCCGAATGAAAATTTGTGACCAGTGGAGCCAACCAAGTCAAACATGAGGACAGTTACTCAGCAATGCCACTGGATGGAAGTTGCGCTATATCGTGAACTGAAAGAAGTAGGAAATATGAACCAATGTATTCTGACCCAGTGGCTCAATGGGAGCTCAACGGAACCTAAAGGTCTTGGTTCAAGCCCAGGAGGGGTCATGGATGCGCGCTGCTGAGGAGTCGCATACTACGGTGAAACAGATGTCCAGTACTCCCAGATTTCCAGTGTTCCTCCAACTGATGTCAGTCCATGATGAATTCCAACTTATGCCTTTAATCCTTATAAATTCCTCTGAAGTTAATCAGAAAATATTCATTTCACTAGAGTCAATTTCTTCAAATTAAACCATCAGCCAAAATGATAAAAGCCAAAGACGACGAAAGAAGTAAATGCAACAATAAACTGAACTTTCCCCACAAAATGATGTTGTCTTCAGTTGGAAAATATGGATCAGGAAGATTTAATGCATAATTCAACCAAGATATAATATAAATCGTATCCTCAAAACAGTCTTGTATAACTTAAGGTGGTGTGGGCACAGTCATCCTTTCAAATTGCTTTCATAGTCTTTGCCAAGGAGTTCCTATTGACTGCTTTGACGTAGCACTGATATCCTGAGAAAATGGAGACGGTGAAAGCAAATAATGGGCAATCACTTAACAGGATTGATGGATATTAGGGCGTCACTTAGGGATTTGCAAAAACCTAACTCGAAATCAGTCACGCATATAAGCTCCAGGTGACAAAACTTACGATTGGAGCATAAACCTACTTTGATCACTGGTACTTGTGGAATCGCAATATCTGACATTTTTTTCGCTGCCTTGTGGATTCAACCTCAAGTCAAAAGCTTGATTAGTGTCCCCTTGAGATAACTAACTGCTTCAGTTTAAGCCTCAAGGCAGTACAAAAAAACCCACATAAACCATGAGGTAACACTGATAAACGTAAATTATATAAGGTATACAACTACTTATTTACAGTAATTCATCTTAATTAAAAGATGGATCGCCCAATTTCAACCACAACAACGAATAACAACATGAAAATAGATGTTACTGAGTGACTGATTCACTTCTACAAGAAAATCGGTTGCACTACATATACTCATACTCAAATCAGTGCATACGTGCATACACACACACAGAAATATAAATATTTAGGGATGATGATTTAAACAAACTGACCATCGCATAAACAAAGGGAATACACTGATCATAATGCTGAGTGACCTCTTTTTACATAGGTAGCTCTTCAAATGCGCCCATTTTTCAATATGAATAGATAGATACACAAACATTAATTTCTAAATGATTACTGAACTAGTTGTGAACAATAACTTACATATTTCTCTAACAGTTTGACTTGCATCTCTGATAACAAGAGATTTACGATCAGCTGACAAAAGGACCGTGAACAACTGATTGTCTATTAGAATAAAGGAGAACAAGTGTTAAGCGTATAATTCCAGATTACAAATTACAAATATTACTTTAACTGTGAATTAGTCAGAATGAAGCAGAACTGCATGATGCAGAAATCCAACAAGATATTAGCAGTTGAAAGCGTTTGTCAGTCACTTGCAGGTTGAACTATGCGTCCCACTTAAACAACAACTATCTTTAAATCCGTGGTTTCCACAAAGCTCTAATCTTCATTTGGGACAAGTCTTTTAGAAGTGTTGTTACATTTTGAGAACCATTACATAACACTGCTTTCCAACCTGTTTTGAAATTTCCCCTCTAAAACCAGAAATAACAGAATTGGTGACAAGCATATTGTCCCTAAACTATTAGATTGGATTTTGATGTCTCGTGCCTTCCCCACAAGGCAGTTTTCTCATTGGATGTCACTATTAAGAGGGTGAATTACTCATAAACAACCTACTTCGGTCATACTTTTATCACACTTAAAATACAGAAGCTCGTAACATATTCCCTGAATGGAATTGAATCACCATGTGCACATCATACAGAATAAGGAAAACTTGTTGTAACTATATACAGAAAGAAATAATTTCAACAGAAACATGGTCATAGAGAAGTTCACTTAACTTTCTCTAAATTCCAACCAAGCGCCACCATGTTTCATATAGATGAGTTGTACAATAAATATTTAGCGCAGCAAGTATGGAGTCTTAATAAAATAACAGGCCGTAGAGTAATGTAACTTTTCTTAAATTCATGTAACTATTTTATAAGCTAATCATTTCTCCAGCTCAACCAAGAACTTTGAGCAATAACGACCCAGTTATACAGCCCACTTTTGTAGAAGCAAATTAAGTGAGATTATTATTATTTGTCACTTGAGTTTTCTAGTGAAACATACGGCTTCAGTAGCACGTCGCCATTCCACTCTCTTCTCTCCAGTCTTCAAAACCTGGCACCACCAATGCCCACAAGCTTTCATCTCTTCCTCACATGATCTCCTCCATCATGTCACCCTCACCTCGGACGCCCAAATCGTCCTTTCCCATTTCGATTCCACTCGACGACCTAGCACGGCCTAGTGCAAGATGTCCCCAGTCCGTCTTCTCAGTGTTTGCCCAATCCAATCCATCTCCACTTCCTTCTGCATATTTCATGAGCAATGGCTTCTTGGTTGGTTCGTCACCAGCCAGCCAGAGTTCCTTCTTCCTTATTCTTTCTGGCCATCTGATCTTCAGTAACCAGTGAGCGTAGGCGGTTGTTGATGAATATCTGTAGTTTGTTGGAAATGCTTTTCGTAATACCCCAAGTCTCTGAACCATATAGCAGCACTGACTTCACTGGCATTAGTGTTGAAAATCCGGATCCCGTTCCACATGCTGAGTGCAGTAGATCTCTACACTGATTTCAGATCAATGAAAGCCTGTCTTGCTTTTCCGATCCTGGCTGGTTTTGATATCCTCATCTGTCCCACCTGTAGTTAGAACGATGGTGCCTAGGCAGGTAGGTGAAACAGACTACTTCCTTTAAGTTTCTCCCGTTGATGGTGATTGGTGCTTGTTTTTAGTGCTGTTTTTAGTTGGGTATCTTCACCACTTCCGTCTTCTCCACGTTCACTTGAAGTCCCGTCTTCACGCCTATTCTGTCAACTTGTTGGTTTTCAACTGTAGATCTTCGAGTTTGTGTGACATTAGACATAAGTCATCGGCGAAATATAAATCTTCTAGGTTCTTTTCCGCAGTCCAGGCAGCGTATGCCATCTTCTCGCTCCTCACTGTTTTTTGCATAAACCAACCCACTACAAACAGGAATATCGTGGGTGACAGTAGACAGCCTTTTCTTACTCCTGTCTTCATTTCAAAGGCATCACTGAGCTTCCACTGTGAATTACTTGGCATTTGGCGTCATCATATACTTGTTGAATGAGGTTGATAAAAGTTTGTGGTATTCCGTAGTGTTGAAGCAGTTTCCAAATTACCTCTCGGTCGACGCTGTCGAAGGCCTTTTTAAAGTCGATGAAGTTGAAGTAGAGAGTTGACTGCCATTCTATACTCTGTTCTATGATGATGCGCCGTGTAGCGTAGTGTCGCAATTTGATCCTTACATGATTTGTTTTTCCTGAAGCCAGCCAGCTAGCCTGTTCCGGTCGTAATTATGAATCCAGAGCATCTTTTAGTCTCTTCAGGATGATGCGGCATAATACTTTGCTTGGGGTGGACAGGAATGGAGCGTGATTCCGCGCCCGTTCTTGCAAAGACTGAGATTAGCTGTGTGACGTAGTAAGCAAAAAAGAGAATTATCTATTGCCTACTCATGAGTAGCTTAAACTTTCTGCTTTCATTTACTGGTAAAAATATCATACATATGTCGTTCATAAACCACACAATATTTTTCAATAAGAGAATAGATGGAATATGGAACTACATATAACATAAAATACGCAGTTATCTAGTGGGTTATATGAAATGCAGTCAGTTGGATACAGCAGGTAATGAGCATTAACATACAAGCATTCCAGTATATGTGCTAGTGTGTGTTTCTATGATAGTCACAAATATTTAGAGTGGAATGTGCTACGTAATATGGATCATGTGTACACCAATTAGAAATTTAGCTCATTGTCTTTACTTTACTGAATAAGAAAAATATATTTTTCATAAAAAAGCCAATTCAGATCATGAAACTTATGAAGTTTCTATGGTGACTAGTCACTACAAATAATCAAAGCAGTCATCAGAAAAACATTAATACAGTGAAGAATGAAGACAGCATAGTGATAAACGAAGCTTGTAAGAAAGTACAAGACTGAGACACAGGAAGAAATGGTTTATTGTGACATCATGTACAGTAGTGATGAAATATTGTACACTTTCCACTAAAACAGTCGTTTGCATAATGTGTTTCATTTCCTCATTTGCTTCTATCTTGGCTTGTTCTTAATACGCTCATATTGTCTCTTACGTTCCTCTTCGCAGAATATTTACCCATCGCCGGTAATTTCCTATGATTTCTACCGACCTCTCAACATATACTACTTATATCCATTCTGATCAGCAGCACCTACTACAAGCTAATGTACTTTGGTAAACCCTCATAGCCTTTTTTTGACGATGCAGTTATATGCCACTGCATTTATCACTTTATATGCACTCATTATTCTACATATACACATAGGGACGATCAATCAATTTACGGAAAAAGCCAGGGGGTATATCCCTAGATGGCTGTAACAAGAATAAATAAATGTCGAACTATGTCTCTAGCAAAACATAACATTACGTCATGGTGGAGATTCGAATATACCTCTTTCAAACTTATCAACAAAACTTAGTTTTGTTGAAGCTACAGCTGTAAAGAAGCCTAGATCTTTTCTAAAATGTACTCGAAATTAATTTAGTGCTTCAGTAAACCTATCATGATAATTGAATTTTAACAACCGAAGTTGTTTTATTGATTTATCTGAGTTCGTCATGTCGCAAACAAGCTCAAATAGTCAGCGTAAAAATTGATTCCATTCGAAGAAAGTTAGCAGTTCATAGTTTCAAGGAATCACTTCAAACTTCTAGTGAATTGGATTATATGGACAATTCAGATGAACTCTAGGTATCATATAATGTTCGTTCATTGTTTAAGAGCATAACTGGAGATGAGATTGTCCAAAATTATATATCAAGAATTTAAACGTTTCCATCTGATAGAAAACAAATTGAAACAACTATTGTTTCTCTGCACAAAGGGTGTTCAATTTCAATCTAACAGCCAACTGTACAGGTAAATTGATGAAGTGGTCAGAGATTCACCATTAGACCCAGTCGTAGCCCATATGTTCACATAGTTTACCTTGAACACATATGAGTGAAATCAAAGATGCAGATTATATATTACCGCAGGCATGTTGATGCACTGATAAGTCATGCACCTCGGCTGTTTGAAAAGCTCATGCTAACATCAGATTTATCTTGGAACATGAGCACAATAACCAGTTTAGCTTTCTAAACTTCTGTGTAAAACGAAGAAATGATGGTACAATTGAGAAAACTATCCACAGAAAAGACATACTGATTGGTCAATACTTGAACGATTTCATTTTTGTCCTATCAGTTACAAGAGGTGTTTGGTCAAAACACCTTTCAGTTCATGTTCCAAAGATACCCTTGAGGAAAATGAATAACCTCAGGAAGTTCATCATGAAATACAGAAAACTAGAGACAATCAAATGGAAACTTTAAACTACTGAGCAGAAACCAATTTTCATCAGCCGTACATTCAAAGGGGACGTGTTAGCACGAAATGAGAAAATAATTATAGACGCATTGGAAAGTGGACCTTAGTATTACCTTCACAACACAAACTGTTCATTAAAAGAAATCCAAATCAGGTAAGCTGAATCACAGCCTACCTTGATGTGTGACACCAACAGAAGTGATGTAGAATATTTTTAGCTCAAAAGGATTAGTTTGATGGGGTTGAAACTCAGAGAAGTAATATTAGGTAGGAAGAAAACCAAGGCTGTGTAAATCGTGAAACGGTAGCAATCAGTGGATTCTATGAACGTTTGTCAGAGCTATCTAGGTGGGTGTTGACTGACTTATTGGATCAATGTTTGCAGACTCTGAAGGAGATTGCTGGAAATGGTCACTAGTACAAACTTATTCACTCTCTATCATCTCTGTAATTTGAAACATTTTATTCGCTTTCATTCGCTTGTTCACCCTCCATCCTTATTTGTTGAATGTAAAATGATCTGATTTCCGTTCGCTTCCTCTTCTTGTACTATCACAAAATTTGGCAACTTGAAATGATGTGCTTTTGTTCATTTGTGTTTATTTGTGAGGTTATAACAGTTATGAATAAAACCCATCATTATCACAGTGGCATGGGCGAGTGAAAAGTATGACTTTATCAAGATGGACTGACTTTTTAAGAAAATATCAACCGCCTACGGGTGGCACACAGTCAATTAACCTTCAGTGTACCTAAAAATAGTAATTGACACAAAAAGTCGCAACCACGTGCATACTTATTCCGCTGATTCAGTTGTGTTCGTTAAATACAACAAACATATGATAAATTACGTTCATAACTGTACGAATAGAATTAGGAACTACGGTAGATTATAATTCCACATTAAATACATTTATCTCTATACAG